TTCTTTTCTTTTCTTTTCTTTTCTTTTCTTTTCTTTTCTTTTCTTTTCTTTTCTTTTCTTTTCTTTTCTTTTCTTTTCTTTTCTTTTCTTTTCTTTTCTTTTCTTTTCTTTTCTTTTCTTTTCTTTTCTTTTCTTTTCTTTTCTTTTCTTTTCTTTTCTTTTCTTTTCTTTTCTTTTCTTTTCTTTTCTTTTCTTTTCTTTTCTTTTCTTTTCTTTTCTTTTCTTTTCTTTTCTTTTCTTTTCTTTTCTTTTCTTTTCTTTTCTTTTCTTTTCTTTTTACCAAGGGTGGAATTTAGAGTGGTGTTCTTTTTATTTTTTTCCATTGATGTGGTCATCATCACTCTTCAATGGCAAAAAGGTGCTTTTATCCCACAAATAAGAAAGCCAGGCTACCTACCTCAGCCGGTGATTTACTGTGAGTGGGACCCTACTCCCCCAAAACATCTCATCCCCAACACACAGCCAATGAGCAGCACCTCCCCATTGCTGCCAATCCCTCATCCCTCTCGCCTTCCCCATCATCTCCCACCTTCCATCTCCCATCTGCCCATCTCTCAGTCTCTCAGCCCACCAGCTGCCCCACAGACACCCTGGAAGGGTTTGGCCCACAGCCTGGCTGCTGCCGGCGCTCTGCAGCTCATGGGAATGGGAGGAGGGGGAAGAGGGAAGAAGAGTGTGCAGGCCTCTGCACAGAGAAACACAGAGGAGAAACAGCATTTGGAAAATCGATAACCATGATTATTTTATCAGAAATTCTTTCTCATCCTGTCTCTCTCTCAAAAAAAAAGAAAAAAAAAAAAAAAAGAGAAGAGATACATGGCTGAGTATGCTGAGCTATTGAGTGTGTTTTAACAAAGCAAGAAATGGACATGGCAGGCAGAGGGGGGTGGAGGCAAGAAGAATAGGAAGAGCAAATTCATGTAATGTCTGTGCAGGGCTCTTCAGGTGTAACATTTCTTGGTACAGTTTATTTATGGAGGTTGGAGTAAGTCCTCCTGTGTTACAAAGCCAGTAAAGCAGCTGACTCATAGGATTCAGTTTATTGAAACTGAAGTTTGCTTTCTCTTCTTTTCTTCTTTTTCCTCTTCCTCTCCAAGCTGTGCCCACACTCTATAATTCATATATATTTTTAATTAAAAGTAATTCTAACCAACAAAAGAGCTATACCTGTGTGTCAGCAAAGTAGAACATGGTTGTGAGTGCACAGAAATGCGTGTGTGTGCGGGAGGGACCCCAGACAGATACCCTCACCGTGCATCCTGACTTAGCTATGCTCTCCTACTCTTTTGTGGAAGTTTATATCTAATAAACACCACATGCTACAAAGTACAAGGGACCTGCCCACCTTTTTTTTTTCCTTTTCTTTTTTTTTTTTTTTTCCCCCATTCTTTTTGCTTGATACTCAGAAGTTTGATTTTCGTTTCTTTCTGGTGGACCAGCTACACCACCCCAATGCCTTTAGGCAGCAGAGGGCTGAACTTGCTGGGTCCAGGGCAGTGTGGTTTGCCTCTACAGCTCTGTGTGGGTCTGTGGGCCTTTCCCACCCAACAATCTCCCCTTGTCAGCCCTAAGGCTCTCAGAGTTGCTTTCCAAGCAAGGAAGATTAGGAGCAGCCTTGGAAACCCAGCTGGGTGTGTGGACCTTATGGAGGTGGAGCTGAACCTCTTCCCATGCAGGTGGGGATATCTGGCCTGGGGGAGGCATTTGGGGCTGCCTCCCAACTTCAGCAAAAAAGGGGAGGTTACTGTGTACTTCATGAGTGGGAGAAAGATGAGATAACAGCCAGAGAAAGAGATTGCACTGAAATAGGCTGCACACAAGAGGTCCAGCTGTGCCCACACCAGCAGGATTGTTGGTTAGGTGCTGGGGACACCTTGCTGAGGGAAAGAATGTGAGCAGGGACAAATGGTGCTCCCACCCAGTTATCCCCACTGCAGGCAGGACTTGGGGCTGCCCTGGTGATGGCTGCAGTGCACCTCTACCTGCTCTCTGCTTTCACTGCCTCTGCATGCAAGAAGTGAGTGGCACACGTTGGTGTTGATGGGGCATGCAGAGTCAATAAGCAGTGCTATGCCCCCGTGGGAGCTTGCATTGGGCAGCAGCAGAAGGAGATGCAAGTATTGTATAGTCTGGGCATGGCTAGGATCTGGAGCTACACACAGAGCTGCTTGTCTCCATGGGGCCACCCTCAGGGAACTGCTCAAATGTTGCGCTGCTCCGTAAATCATAAGCTGTTCCTCCAGAATTTGCAGTTACCCAAGATTAATGATGGAGTAAATTGAATTTTGAGTTAAGGAATAAGAAATTGCACCATATTTAGCTGTCAATTACATTGTACTTTCCAGGCTTCATCATCCCACTGCTAATCATGTAATCATCTTATCACTTTATGGCAATTTACATGTAATTAAATGGCCAGCGGTTACGAAGTAAGGAGAGAGGTCTTACCAGAAACGTGTGCCATGCATCTCAAAGAATGCTAAGGAAACTGAACCCATATGGTAAAATATTTCTCAAACTTTGGAGAAAAAGCTTTCAACTTTACTAACCTCCTCCACATCCCGAGTTACCTTTTTGGCTCTTCAGGGAGCTGCGTGGGTATGAGGAGCAAGGGTCATCCATGGGAACAATCACAGTGGCAAAACCAGAAACCTGGGGTGGGTGGGAGGACACAGCACTGCTTTCTGCTCCTCTTGAGTAGGTTACTGGGTGAAGCTCAGGTTACTGGGTGAAGCTCAGTATGGCACAGCATGGAGCAGGCTCAGTGGCACCACAAGAGCACAGCCTGCTATTCAATCTGAGTGAGTAGGGCTGCAATGGTGAGACTGTGTAAAAGAAAAAAAAGTGATGCCTGAAAGTCTTGCGGTGAGTCCCAGACTAGGTGTGAACGTGCCTTGCCTGTGCTGGGCCTGGGGAAATGAATGTCCTCCCAGCTCATTAGCTGAAGAGATTTCCCTTGTTTCTCTTCTTAAGGACTTAATCTTCAGCAGAATCATGGCAATGATGATACAAGAGCTAGGGAGAAATTACACGCAAGTGAATGTCATTGAAAGAACTAAACTCTAACCAGAGCTAAGCTGACAATTCAGCAACACTGAAACATACCCTAGTGTGGTATGGGGGAGTGTGTACAGCCATCACAAGCCAACCTCTTGCAGGCAGGGTGGAGCTGGATGATCCTTAAGGTCCCTTCCCATCCAAGCCATTCCATGATTCTACAGTTCCAGAATTCCCTTTTTGCCTACAAGTTCCAGCTGTCATCAAACACTTTTCAGAGCTGCCTTGTGGCTTCGCCATAAGCACTACTGAGGGTACCTCTGCCATGGGCTTGGGGACAGAGAGGGTGGAATATGGCCATAAGGTTTAGTGGGCATAGTTGTGATGAGTTGATGGTTGGATTACATGATCTTAGTGGTCTTTTCCAACCTTAATGATTCTATGATTCTCTGAAGAGCCCTGGAGATCTGGACTTGCTGGTGCCTCTTCCTGGCAAAGCACCCAGATGGTGCCCCCAATGGTGTCCCCAAGAGAGGAAGGCCCTGGGCACTGAGAGTGGTGTGATGGGTGCAGGAGGTGGTGGTGGCCCATAACCATGTTGGGACGATGGCCTTCAGGCTGCCTTGGCAGCACGGAAAGCAGCCATGAAACATTCCAAGGCAGAAAAACAGAGCTTTCTGTATGAACCGTAATAAATAAATGCAGGCTGTGCAATTCCTTCAACCAGAGGAAGAGAGAGAGAAACCCAACCTCTGCTCAAAACATCTTTTAAGGAGCGAACGCCAACGTGCAGGCTGTGGTCACAGATGCTGTTTTTGCAGCTGCCTGCCTCAGCTAAACCACTCTGCAGTCACCGTCGTTTTTACCTAGGGAAGCTGCAGATGCCCTGAGCGGGCTAATAGAGACCTCTTTGTTTGCCCCTATCAGCTTGTTTCAACTTTGGGCAGCAAGGACAAGGGCTGTTAGCAGGAGCTGGCTTTTCATGTGGAACTTGCAGGTCCTGGCAGCCTGACATGGTTGAGGTTCCTGCTGGGGGTGAGGCCACCTGAGTGGGGCAGAGGCACTGTGAGGCCTTTCCCACCGCCCCAGACAGAAAACAGCCCTGTGCCTCTGGGCTGGGCGAAGAAAACAGTCCAAAGCCTCAGGATTCTTGCCCATAAATCCAACCCACAATACCATAGATTTGTATGGTGCTGCCAACTTCGACAATTTTATGCTGAGTCCTGTGTGATTTGCAGTGTTTTTTATTTTAATTTTTTCTCTTTTTTAGTTTCTAGTTCCTGGAGCCCTGTGATTATATGAAATTCTCAAGGGATGCCGAGGGCTATTTTATTTTTTTTCCCCCTTTCTCTGCTCAGTTTTAGGCTGCATAATAATAATGGAAATTTTACCGGGGAGGAAAGTGAGGCAGAAAAGAAGCAGCTTGTCTGGAGGTGGGATGAGGATTCATCACCAGACAAAAATATTTTGCTTTCTATTTTTTTTGGTACATGCTCTCCCTGGAAAAGTGAATGCTTTTGTTGCATTTTTTTTTTTTTTTTTTTTTTTCCTGGACTAATAAAGTCTTTAAAGCTTGAAGTGAACGGAAAATGTTCAGAAAGTGGCCTGAATAAATTTCTGCCCCTAGAAAAAAAAGAAAGAAAAAAAAAAAAAAGAAAGAAAAAAAAAAAGAGAAGAATATTTTGTTTATATTTAGGACCTTTTACTCTTCTGAAATTCCAATGGAAATTTTTTCCACCCACATTCCATTCAGAATGAAACTGTGACGTATTTCAGCGGGAAGCCCCATGCTCAGCAGCACTCATCCTTCCTTTGGCAAATCATAGAATCAGAATCATAGAATCACAGAATCCTAGAATGGCCTGGGTTGCAAAGGAGCACAGTGCTCATCCAGTTCCAACCCCGTGCTGTGTGCAGGTCACCA